CTAATTATCCTTTCCGTTCCCTTCAGGTTCCCTTTTTGGTTTTTGAGTATGTTTTAGGGTTAGAGTTTTAAGAGTTGAGTTACGATTTTCGGTGAATCGAATATCGAGGTTAGTTAAGTTTAGGATTAAGGACTTTTCCGGTTTGGTAATTCCGGTCAAAAATTACCTGGCGCCCATAAGGTTAAATTTTAGCAGGTATTTGTTAGGCTCAGGGGAAGTAGGCCGAAGGTAATGGGCATTTCCCATTCACCGGGAAAATGTCACGTTACACGCTGTACAAAAGGCTGAGCAGACAGGACCCTGAAAAGGGGTACTGGAGCTTGAAAGGGACCTCATGGGGGGACAAGGTGATGTGGGCCAAAATGAGATGCGGAAACATCGGGAGGGCTGGTAATAAGGGTTTCAGGGTCACCAGCTGTAGGCTGTGCGGAGAGGCTGCTGAGGACCTGGAGCACATTGTGAAATGTGAGAAAGTAAAAGAGGGCGAATTACGGGACTGGTGGGAGCAGTGGGATGCACTGGGAGTCTCGGGGACGCTGGTGGAGACCCTGGAGGGGGAACCTGTGATGGAGCTTTGCAAGCTAGTTAGGGAATGGGAGAAATTGATGAGGAAATCGGAAGAGGTTCATCCAGCGATAACCTAGTTTTTTGCAGGAGGCAAAGGGAGAGGAAACTTGATGGATCCTTAGTAGGAGTACTCTCTGTCAGCCGGCAGGAGTGCGATAAAATGGTCGCGAAACGCCGGTTTTTTTTCCACACCAGGGGGGGGAGGGTCTGCAGCCAACTGCCAGCCTTTCTTCGCCTCTAAGTCCTCAGACTCCAACAGAAGGAAAAAGTCTTCGAGCAGGGGCACTATTACTACTAGCTTGAGAAGCCGTTGTAAAATTCCTTAAAACCTGTTATTATATTTGTTTATTTTTGTAAAGGCTATTGTATAACTATTAACCTTATGGCTTCATATTTTATATTCCATATTTCCTTTATTTGATATTCTATAAGTGGGGAAGCAGGAAAGGGAACAAAGTGTAAAAGCCCGAAAGGGTATACATGCTGAATAAATATATATATATATATATCTATCTCTGCAATGGATTATTTAAAAAATCTGAAAAAATGCCCTGTTAGATTTAATTGAGAAAAATTAAGTAGAGCCAAAAGTTTTTAATTTTTCATAAAAGATAAATTATAATTGAGTGGAAATATAGTACAAAGTCTCATAGAAAGCAGTGTGTTGACGATAAAATAAAAATTAAAAAATGCACATGGAGATTTCATCGACATGCATTAGAATACCTCTTCAGGTACCATCTATCGAAGTATACATTAGACTGGATAGTTGTTTAAAAAAAAAACAGCACATACATATTTTGTTAGAAAAGTGGAAAATATGCATTTAAATTTTTATTACATATTTTTAAGAGGACTTCCGGTTGGCGCGCGATAGAGTGTGTTTCGAGTGAACGCGGCTCTAGCTGATTTTGAAAGAATCCGATATCTAATTAGACGATCCGAGTCGAAAAAGTGCTTAAAAGTGAGAACGAAATACAGCCGCAAGGACACAGGGTAAATTCTGCGGGGATAGGGCCGAATGCGACGAGAAAAGTGTGGGAAAGTCCAAGGGTTGCATCTCATAGGTTAGGACACAGGGCGCCGGGAGAGAGTGAGAGAGGCCTTAGAGGAGGAAAACAGAGGAAGTGACGTAGAGGTAAGATGCAAAGCGACGGTGACCTCTCCAAGGTGGATCCAGTTGGTGCAAAAAGAGGGAGAGGCAGACCAGGGTCCAGGAACACCACCAAAGAAAAGAAAAAATCCCCAGATACGGGCGAGGGGAGGGAGAGGGAGATAACAGTCTGGACGAAGAAAGATGACAAAGAAGGAGGATCTGAGGAAAGGCCTGATGGGGAAGGAGGAGAAACGCAAATACAGAGCGACACTCCTCCAAGGAACGGAAAAATCACGAGTGGAAAACAACTGGCCAGAACCCCGACGAAGGCAAAAGATGAGGAGACACAGGGGAATTCAGAAAGAGAGGTGAATGGAGAAGAGAGAAAGCAGACAGAAAGAGCAACTAGTGAGAGGATTGGAGACATACAGGTGCTGACACAGGGCGAGAGGGCAAGAGGACGAAGAGAGTGAGGATTCGATGGAGACAATACGGAGGATCCCGAGCTGCTCCGAGAGCGGAAGCGACAATGATGGGGTGAAACCCGCCAAAAATACTAAAAATACTAATATTAAAAATGTTGACAGGGAAGCAGGCGAGGGCAAAACAGAACAGACGAGACACTGGGAAGAGCTGGAATGGCGCATGGAGAAAAAATGGGAAAAATGGACCAAAAAACAGAAGGAACTCGAGGAGGAGAAATGGGAAAAGGTATTCGTATCCCTGGAAGAAATGATTAGAAGAGAGTTTGACAGGGAACGTGGACACACAGAACGACCGCACAGGGAATGCCCAAACTGTGACCCGTTGAGACGAAAACTGGAGGAGGCACAAGTGGAGATAACGAGAGGGGAGACCCAGGCAAACTTCTGGAGAAATGAAGCGCTCATCTGACAGGAAAGATCACAAGAGGTGAGGAGTATTTTAGAGCAGGAGCAGGAACCCGAAAAAGAAAAGAGAGGCTCAGAGAGACACGCAAGGGAGGGGGACAAATTAAATAGCTCTCCAGAGTCAGAGCCCAGGGAGGAGCTAACCTCAACTCCCCCCAGGTGGTGCCCAAGTGAATCGGGAAACCGGAGGAAACCGCCAGGGGCCGCGGAAGTGAAAGAGATACTACAAACAGGCCACGGGGGAAAGGACAGCAGAGGGGCAAAGCACAGCACCCAGCATAACGAAGAGCAAGGTGAGCAAGAGGAGCAGGCAAAAGAGGCCCAGGAAGATTTTCCAAGGAAACTGGAACCCGATGAGTGGGACGAAGAGAGAAAGGAGAGGAGGGAAAGGCGCAAATGGATCAAAATAAGAGGGCTAGTACTAAGAACGAAGCAGAAAAAAGAGGCCATGGAGAGCTGGTTCCTGGAAAACCTGCAAGAAAAGGTGAGAGTAGATAAGGTAGAGAGAATGGAAGGGATAGAGGGAAAGAACGGATGGAGGGTAAAACTGGAGGAAATGGACAGCAAAATAAGGATACTGAAAAAGAAAAGGGAACTGAAACATCTCCACTCGCCGGTCTGGATTCTCGACGACATAACGGAGAAACAAAAGCTCATCCAGTCCTGGATCGAGAAACAAGCCTTCAAATGGGAAAAAGCCGGAAAATTCACCAGGACATGATTCCAGAAACTGAATGTGGAAGGGGACTGGCTTACCTGGGATGAGGAGCAACATGGAATGAAGCTCTGGAAAAATAGCAGCGAGAGGAAAGAGGAGAGATTTCGTGAAGGAGCCTCGAGAAGAAGCTCCGCATGAACTTGGGATCATTCAATGGAACACACAGGGGATAAAGAATGTGGAGAGAAACAAGGAGTGGTGGGAAAAAGCGGACGTGGTGATACTGCAGAAAACGCACTTGGTGGAGAAGCAAATGAGGAAAACCTTGGAAAAACTAGACAACAACTTTATATGGCACGGTAAGGCGGCGGACAAAAAATACCGGAGAGGAAGAGCGGCTGGCGGACAAATAGTGGGCGCGAAGAGGAGATGCGGGGGCAGTTGGAACGTATCAGAATGGGAGTATGGCCTAAGGATCACAGGAAGAGACGGCCAGGCAGCAGAGGAGAACCGATACGAAATCTGGACAGTGTATAATAACCGAGGAGGAAATTTGAGAAATGTCCTGAGGAAAATCGATGAGGAAATGGAGCCCACAGAGACGGAAGACAAGAGAATAATAATAGGCGACCTGAACGCCAGAATCGGAGAGGAACAGGGAATCCCGGAGTACGGCATGGAAGCAAACAGAATACCAGAGAGGACTTCACACGAAAAGATACGGAGAGGAGAAGGCAAACAACTGATGAATTGGTGCGAGGCAAAAGCAAAGATAGTACTGAACGGGAGGGTAGAAGGAGACAAGGAAGGAAAAATCACATGTTTAGGAGATAGTCAAGAACTGGGCAGCGTACTGGACTTGGTTTTAGTCGACCTGGTGGAGGAAGAGGGAATTCCGAGGTGGATCAACAGCCTACGAGTCCTAGAACAGGAGGGATCGGACCACTTCCCGGTGCTCCTCAAGGTAAAATGGAAGGAGGGAGACAAAGAGGAAGCTATCAGCCCAGCACATACAGGGGGAAGGCTGAAATGGAAGGAGGAGCTGGCACAGGCATATACAGACGAATGGGACAGGGTATGGAGCACAACAGAAAGGAACACCGCCCAGGAGCTAGAAGTGGAAGAATGATGGCAAAACCTAGAAAAAACAATCAAGGAGACAGCAGGAATCATAAACATGGTGAGCAGTGGAGAAGTGAAGAAACGCAGAATGGAAACATGGGGCAACGGGGAGTACAAGAGCAAGAGAAAGGAGCTCTTCAAGAAACTCAAAATTTTTAATAAAAATGGAGACTGGCACAACAGGAGACAATACATAATCTGCAAAAAAGAGCTGAACACACTGAGAGAGGGCCTGATAAGAAAGTGGCTGGACGGAAAACAAAAACTAGTGGCGAGGAGCAGAAATTTAAGAGAATGGTGGAAGGCCATGTCCTGGTACAGGAAAAATAAAAAGAGGGCCTGGAACCCGGTTAAAAAAGAAAATCTACTGAACCATTTCAAAGAGCTACTGGGGGCAGAAGACGACATACAGGTGGAAGGGACGGGAGAAACGGGAAACCCGGTGGAAGATCCGCAAGAAAACGAAGAAAACGAAATAGCGACTAGACAAACGCGAGAGGGAGAGAGAGAAACAGAGACGGAAGAGGAAGAAGAAGAGGCACATTGGGGCGATATAAATATCGACGCACCAATACAAGAGGCCGAGCTACAACGAGCAATCAAGAACACGAGGAATGGGAAGGCAGCGGGCGTGGATCAGATACAAGCGGAATTTTTGAAAAACCTACCAAAAGAGACAGGGAGGAAGGAACTCATGGAGATTTTGAAACACCTCTGGGACGAAGAGAAGATGATCGAGGAATGGAGAACAGCGATGATCTACCCAATATACAAAAAAGGAGACCCAAGCGAGGCAAAAAACTACAGAGGCATCTCCCTACTGAACCTCGGCTACAAGTTGATGGCAACAATTATGGCCAAAAGGCTTGGACACTGGCTAGACGTAAAGAAAAAGCTGACAGAAGCGCAGATGGGGTTTAGGAGAGGAAGAAGCACCACAGAAGGCATAATGGTGCTGAACACACTGGTAGGAAGCAGGCTCAAGGTCAAAGGAGGAGAATTATACACCGCCTTTATAGATTACAAAGCGGCCTTCGACAAGGTAAATAGAGAAAAACTATGGGGTAAAATGAGGAAAATGGAGGTGGGGGAAAAATTCCTGAGAATGGTCAAGCTAATCTACGAAAACACGACAAGCAAGGTGATAGCAGGAGAGCAAATGACGGAGAGCTTTCGAACGGGGCTGGGGATAAGGCAGGGATGCCCCCTCAGCCCAATATTATTCAACATATACATCAACGATCTTGAAGAGCTACTGAGAAGAAAGGGGGATGGAGGCTCAGTGATTGGACACACGAGAGGCAACAAGGTATACGCAATACTCTATGCCGATAATGCAGCACTAGTAGCAGAGGAGGGCAAGGATTTGCAGAGAATGCTGAAGACAACGGAGATATGGTCAGACGAAAACAAAATGGAGCTAAGCACTGAAAAGACAAAAATAATGGTGTTCAGGAACGGGGGAAAAAGGAGGAAAGAAGAATGGAGATACAAGGGGGAACTCCTGGAGGTAGTTAACAATTTTAAATACCTAGGAGTTTGGTTCTCCACAAGGAACCAGTTTAACACACACACTAGGAACCTGGCAGGCAAGGCAACGCAGCTGGTAAACAAGGTGTGGGGTGAGACAAGGAGAGCAAAGGTGGAGGATTTAAAAGACAATTGTTCCTGATGGAAACCACGGTGAAGACAGTGGCGATGTACGGAGTCGAAATCTGGGGATGGAAAAGATGGGAAAATATTGAAAAACTACAGGGAAGATATGTAAAATCATGCATGGGAGTAACAAGAAACACACCGAGTTACATATGGAAGCTGGAATCAGGGAAGAGAAGCCTGGAAGTGGAGACAAAACGGAGGGCGCTAAGGTATTTACTCAAACTAAACAAAATGAACGACGACAGACTAGCAAAGAAATGCATGAAAGAAGAATTAAGAGGAATAAGCAATGGAAACCCCACCGCCTGGGGAAGGATGATTCTACAGACAATGAAGGAAGCAGGGGATGGAGAGCTGTTGGAGATGCTGAGAACGGACACAGAGGAAGGAAGGTGGTGGGAAAGAATGACGGAAATTACGGAGATCTGGGAGCAGCAAGACACACAGGCAGATTGGGAGAAAGTGGATTGGTCCAGCTTCTGTAACTATTATCGGGACATCAAAGAAGATACAAAACTACAAGACTACTGGGGAGACAGCGAACTCAAAATTTGGCAAAAGTCAGGGTGGGCAAGATGGAGATGCGGCAGTGTAACGAGAGAGGGGAAGAAAGGCTTCGCAGACCAACAATGCAGAGCCTGCAAGAAAGAACTGGAAACACTTGAGCACGTAACGGACTGCAGAGTCATCCAGGCGAGAATGAAGGAGGAGAGTTATACCTGGTGGACGAACTGGGGGTTAGAGAACGAGGATGTAAATAGGCAGGAGGCCCTACTGGACATCCTGAGGAACAAACCGTCTGGAGCATGGTGTACAAGGCTGGTGGAGATCGAGAAGATTCTCATCCAACGAGAAAAAGGGAGGCAGGAATGTAGGGAGGAACTCACAGGAAGGGTGAACTCAAAAGATCGAAAACAACCGGGGAGAAGGGACAACAGGCAATACTCATCGAATAGTATACTGTGATACGTGACGGAGGGAGGGGAATACTGCACGGTACCACGTAATAGCAATCTAGCCAAAGAATTATACGTTAATACCAATATGACAGTTTGTTTTATGTAAATTTATATAGCTACGAAGGGAGTAAGAAAGGAGGAGGTGTAAAACTGTACTGTAACACCAAAGAAAATAAACTATTATTATTATTATTATTACATATTTTTAAGAGACTTTTTTTTATTAGAAAAACCAATCATGTGATAATTATTTATTTAAGAAAACATATAGATTGAGTGAAGAAAAAAAAATGGATAAAATGCACAATTAGAGCAGCTTCCGGCGCAACGAAAAGTGACATCTACTTTTTTTTTCTTATCTCATGGAAGGCCATACGTAGAAAAATCACCGGACAACATGTATATGTACACAACTTCAGGCTTATAAATTGGACAGGGAACCCTGAAAGAAATCATAGTTATTGCCACTTTTTATGTTTTTGAAAAAAAATTGTTGTTCGCCTTTTCATCCACGCAAAAATCGAGCAATCAACTTCGAATTTCGATGAGATTTTTCTTCCATCACTACAACCAATGGTATCATAATGGAGCTTAATTGAAAAATTACTTTCGGAGGTATTGAATTTTTCGTGTAACATGGTTATGTGGAATATCTCAAAATTAACTTAATCAAATTCGTTTTTTTCATACGAAACTTTTCGTCCTGGTGTCCTCCATTATAATCCATTGAAGCATAGATACTCACCAATACAACGTTTTGAGATATTTAGATTTTTTCATTTTTCAGTTCAAATTATTCGTACTCCCACCCGTGCAAAAATCGAGCTATTAACTTCAAAATTAGACAAGATTTTTCAAAACGAATCCAAACAAGTCCAAAACGAACACCAGAATGAAGTTCAAAATTAAGATAAAAATGAGATAGAAGTGAGTGCAAATTATTACTCAGAATAAAATAGGAAAAAATTATAGAAATGAACAAATAAAGACCCTTTAATTCAATAATTAGATGTTTTCATTCGTTTTCCTATTTGGATCGATATGCATTCTTAACAGATATAAATTAATAGGAAAAAAAATGTTGTAAAAACCATTCAGAAGCTTGCTATCAAATATTGATGGCAAAGAAAATATATCCATACATTGCAATAACTCGTCTACAGCCACATAGTTGCTATCAACTGCTTGTTTTTTTTTAATTAGAGGTTTTCAACTACTCGTTATTTTGACTGAAGTACACGCCGTCACAATTCCCCCATAAGCGTATGGACAACATATGTTGGTGTGAGTGATTTTCAGAAATTAATGTCTTTTTGGGAGCACCCTGCGATCCATCAAAACTCATCCATTGGCCCTATTTCGGATACAATAGCACCTTCTGGCGAGAGGATACTATAAGTTCTATATAGAGAAAGACGCGCAAGATTGCTCCCCTCTCGAATTTGAAGTCAGAATGTCTCTCCTCGGTTCCATGTGCAAAACAAGGCCCTGGATCTTCAATTAGATAATCGATTAATGTGCAAGTTGATGAATTGCCAAAACATCGAAGACCTTCGAAGTCATTAGCTTGTACTTCCACTTAATATAAACCATTAAAAATCGTATTTCATTGTTTCGTCTTCGGTATGAGATGGCAGTAAACCTTCATGTGACCTTTCGCGACGTCCGACAATAACAAACACGATCGTTCCTTAAGTCCTTTGTTCCTGTCGTAACTTAAATGTGAAATAAATTATTTCTGCTATTCCTCATTAGTATAATTGCATTAATCATGAATAATAATGAGATTGACGTGATGACTGAACTACGGGCGTACGTAAGTTAAAGCCGATTATTAGTTTATTAATCTAGTGCTTTGGTTATTTCTATGGATTTCACTTGATAGAGTTATCTATTTTAATACTTTGTTAGTGGTGTCACGAGCTGGAGGAACTGATGGAGTGTCCCGTATGTCTGGATGTACCACAGGGCTCCATTTATCAGTGTATTGAGGGACACGACATTTGTCAGTACTGTAAGAAGATAGTCGACATGTGTCCAATTTGCAAGAAGCCTTTCAATGAGGGTCGTAATTATACGGTGGAGAAAATTATAGCCAAATTTCAAGACATCAAGGTACTTCGTTTTTTTATTATAATCCTCACATCAATCTCATCATTTCTTCGTATCAAACATCACCATAGAACTAATATTTATAATTTAATTATTAATTTTGAGAGTCATTATTTTATTAAAGAATAATTTTCTTTAATAAAACCGGGAAACATCATTTATTTCTTATGCAATGAAATTCTTGTCGATTAGGTAACTGTAAAATTCAGGCAAACAAAGGGAAAATCTTTGCATTATAGGTAACTTTCTCTATACTAAAAAAGTTTCATATTTCTTCGTGATACCACTGTTCACCGAGATAATTATGTAATTTCACCCCGATGTAATTATGCGGATTAGAGAAAATTTTAATCTAAATGTACGAATATTCACCTATCTCATCCAGTTGATTGCACGATTATCTCAGGAACGAAAGATTTTGGGAAGAAATTTGCAAGTCTATTAATATTGTCATCGAAAACGGTCTTTTCAACTCATCTTGTCATATCGCTTTTCACCATTCATTAATCAACAATTAATTAATCTACTTGAAAATATCTTGTCAGTCACGTGAGCTGTTCAGAAAATCCTTCGCCTTTTTTCGTCTAGACTAATCTCTACGCAAGATAGTGAAATAAATACTCAGTAACATTTATTCTTTATTATTTACTGAGTTACAGCAACTGACTTTTTTGGGAAAGTACCTGTTGTGGAAATGATTAGGTGTAAAATTAAACTTATTAATTTATTGAACAATTTCATTAAAGAACGATTTCTAGAAAAATTCCAATGCAATTTTTCCAAGCTAACCGACTGTCCAGATAAATACCATGGATTTTTTTCTTGAATACTGTTAATAGTCCGGACACTCACTATTGCCAAGAAAAATACCGTATTTTTTCTTCCAAACGGAAGCTTTGTTATCAGTCGATTTTCGGATTTTCGAATTTTGCTTGGAAATGATGGAGGATCGTTTGACATGTAAAAATGCCAATTTTGAACACCATATGTGGATCTGGAAATGGTCAATTTCGCTCATTCTATCAGAAAATTAACGGATTAAAGGGCTAAAGTTATTGTGAGTAAGTTGAAATTCCATAAAATTATAGGTATCACTAAGGACTAACTCTGCCAAAATTCAGTTCAATCGGTCCAGCCGTTTTGCAAAAATTGCCATTTGACTCTGAACCGTCTTTCGACAATATCTCGAAAAAATAAGCACCCGATTTCAATTTTTCGCCCCCCAAGATATTCGTTTCCATGTACTCTATCTCAATTCATCAAAATATGTGCACGAATCGATACTAAATTTCTAAGTTTTTCCAATATTTCTGTTTTTTTTAACTGTGTTAGCACAGTAACGTTATAAAAAATTGATTCATCAACGGAATTTGAAATGTAAAATTTGGCATCAAGTCCCCGCTATGTAATTAAATGTTTGATATTGAAGAGGGACTGAATCGGGTCATTAATTCATCAGATATTCCAATTGCGAGCAAGTGTTATCAATAATTGGTCGTCGGTGGTACCACGAATCTACATGAAAAGGGATGACTGAAGAATTATTCTTCTATGTGGATAATCCGTAGATATTGTCCTAAATTATACGCCATGCAACATGGATTTAGTCATGACGTGTATACGTGTCAAGTCAATACGTGTGGTATTATTCTGTGAGAGGAACATTTGAGATGCAAGATCATGGCTATTGATAACACTAAAAGGCCATAGCAAGAATTTGATTGCCAGATGCATCTGATTCAGAAATTACTTTCTGCAGTGGAAGGCCCAGATGACTGAACCAGCTGGAACTAGCGTTGTTGCGGGGCTGGTTGATAATCTCGATCTGTTTAGTATTCCCTAGGATGAGAAGCTCTCCACCGTCAGAGGACCTCATACCTCGAGACTGGAGAAGGCGAATATCTATAACTTGAAGAAGATGATCGGGAAATTTTATCTTATGTCTTTAGATCTGAGCTTTCTACCCTTCAAGACTTTTTCTGTTGCCTTTTCGAGTGCGTTTTGGGGAGGATTGTTTAGAGAATTTAGGTTCTAAATTTTCATTTGAGATCCGCCTGTTTCAAGTTCATCTGGTTAGCCAAACTATATTATAATTTGGGATTAAATTTGTGTTGCGGGAACTACTTGAATGGTTATAAAAAGAATAATGACGAAAAAGATGAAAAATTATTGAAGGGGGTGAATCCCAATATTGATTGAAAGGGATCTACCAAGTTCGCAAATATAAAATAATACAAAATAAATAGTTCACCATTGATCTCCACCAGATTGAGTGACAGCTATAGCTGTCACACTCCATAGATAGTTTATGCGAGCCTTAAAATTTTAGAAAATAGAATGGCAAGAGGTTCTTTTTCTAAAACTCACGTACAATGAAAATTGTTACTATCGATATATTTATTAGGGAACATGTAAAAAATAATAACAATGTTACATAATTTATTTTAAAAATGCAATTGCCCATTCGTTTTATGTAATTTAGGAAAAAACTTGTATCAACGCCGCATTTCGAAGATAATGCATAAAATAAATTTGGCTTCTCACTGACGATGTTTGTGATTTACGCGTTTGAATAAATAGTATTTTTTAAATTCAGTTTTCTCAATTTTTTTTTTAGAATAACAGTATATTTTTCTGTCCCAGCTTTCGCTTATGGAGCCCGAAAATGATATCAACAAATACACCATACAGTTGAAGAAATCAGTTGGAACACAGACTACAGAGCCAGGTGGAGGGGTATGAGTGGTTATTTTCATCGATGTATCCAGTCTGTTGAATGTTTTAATGATGATCAATAAATGGTTGCCCCAATTTTTAGTATTTTTTTATCATCAGGTTATAATTCGTCGCAGTTCCAGAGTAGCTCTTCGTGAAAAGGGGGAAACTAGATCAACAACGAGTGGAGAAAAATAAAGAAAGAGGAAAGCAGAGAAAGGACTGTTGCACATCCATTTAAATACTTTCTGAGTTTCACCAGATTCATTATCTGTATTATCCTTATCCCCTTGGAATAACTAAACTATCGAATGACTGTCGCATTTTTATAAATTAATAGCTACGAGGTTGAAAATTTATGCTCTATAAAAATAGTTATATACCCCAGGATGTTCGTGACCAAGAATTGCGGAATTCCCTTAATAAAACAATAATTTAGAGAGAAAATGAAATTTAAAAATTTAACGGTGATTGTTGTCAACTGTACACAACGTGTGTTTGCAAAAACTAAATTATTCCATTTACGTTTAAAAACAATCCATTTTATCCGGCTTTCTGAAAGATATAATTAGAATATTTTTTTTCATGGTCTGATTTTCCATTGCAATTCGATCGAACTCACTGTTTCCGAATAATTTTTAAACATTTTTCTTGATTTCAGTTATTCTTTTCCTACTATATTTTATTTAAATACAATTCATGCCCTTAAGCTAAAATTCCATTTTTTTTATATTTATAATTTGGCTCAAGGTATCGATTACCAATAAGGCTCAATTGTAAAAACATGTTGATTTAGAACTAGCAATGTCTCAGCGTGTAAAAAAATAAATTATTAAATTGTATGCATAGAAAATCCAATGCATGTGACGGTTTTTTCCTCCAATGCCAAAAAATATAATGGAAGCTTCGATTAAACTATTCTCCGCTACCTATAAATTTGACTGTTAAATTACGGTTTAGATTAACAGGAATCTAGGATCCCAAAAACATTTGATATTGAAACTATAAACCCATAACCTAACAAAAGCTATTTCAACTTTTTTTCATATTTATAGAATTTTAGAATTACTTTTTTGGATACGATAATGATCGCTCAAGAAAGCTATTCTGACGAAGTTCCAAGCTGATTAGCTGTTAATTTTGATGAAACAATTAAAGCAATTAAACAATTTATCGTACCTATGAATTTCATATGAAACTGACAACGAATAAACACAATTTTCATAATAATTTTATTATGCGAATGATTATCATGGAGAAGCAAAAATATAATTAAACGGATTTTAAAATAGTTCAAACATTTTAAAAGCTTCCTTTATAGTAGTCTTTAGTAGTGATTTAATATATGCGCGCGTTCAACTTTCTGCTCCTCTTTACGGTGGCATTAATTCATCTACAATAAAAATGAAAGGCGTTTTGTCAGAATTATTATATTTCTTTTTCTTTTTTTAAAAGAAAGTAGTAATATTTTGTGGAGATCCCTGCGTCCTATAAAGCTAAACAGCAACTTAAAAAAATAAAACAATAAACAAACTACCGATATAACATTCGAAACCAAAACCAACCGGACTTCAAGACAACATTTAAACACTACAGCTCAACGCAACTAATAGAAAATCTTCGAATGCTATTGTTATTTCTCCAGATTGCAGTGTGTCACGTGCTCGGAATGCCTCTGAAAAATATTTCCAATAGAATAAAATTAGTTTCATGTTCGTAGATCTATGATAAATATCAACACAATTTTTAAACAAAAAATTTACCTGTAAACTTTTGAATCTGTACACATAATACTATGAACTGATCGACGGTGATGCTTCCTGTGCGATTAAAATCACTCTTTTGGATTACATATTTAAAAAAATCAGGGCTAAACCTGTAGCCCATTTGTGTGAATGCCGCTAAGAGCTCGTGTTCCTGAATACTTCCTGAGCTATCATGATCAAACTGTTTGAATACCGTCAACCAAGAATTGACGTACTTGAAAAGAGCTTGAAATTCTTCAAAATTGATGGTTCCAATTTTCTCTTTATCGAACATTCCTGAAAATATATCATCGCTAATTAAAAAATTTCTAATTTTAGCAATAATAGGAGACATGATACGGAGATTGCCCGGATGCAATGAGGGACATGCATAAATATTTTTGCATTTAAAACAGCCATTTTTAGATATAAGTACCCATGGTTTTACTAATGATTACAAAATGTTTCATTTCTGAATATCCAACGATTTGGGTATTTGAGACATCCATCGTACAGTGATATTCAAGTTTTAGAGTTTGGAAAGTATGTTGTAAAAGACACGGTCTCTACCCTAAAATACTACAATAAATTAAATACTACAAAGACGATAAACAGCGTCTAAAAATTGCCAATTTTTCCAGTTCCCTTTCCTTGAACAAGTCTCCGAATTGAATTTCATTAATAATAATAATCTTTTTATCCAGCTATTGTATTATTGTATTGTAATACAATTATTGAAAAATCGAATATTTGGAAAAAAATATGCGAAAAATTCAAATGCACAATTTTTCATTTATACTGAAGTCAGCATAAGTTTTAACATTAATTTTAGGAGTGCGGGGCATGGTTACAAGTGGTAACTACGTGGAGTGGGGGTACCCAGAGAAGTAAAAACTTATGCTGACATTAGTATACTTCATATCTATTGGAATGGGACAATATAGCACAACTGTTTTATTTATCTACTGCGTAGCACATTCTACAGTTTTCATATTTTAGAATTTCAACAAACTCCAAAATTTATTATTCTTCCGGTATTGACCTCAAAAATGCTTTTTAAACATATAAGTAATGGATAGTGATCCATTATTTTCCGTCATACACGGAAAGTTCGATTTTACTCCCCAAATGACGGGAAGAAAGTGGCCTATTCTCTCCTTCGGATTTCTATTGTTTTTGAGCATCCTCGGGATAACATAACCCACATTCCTCCCTTCATTTACGAAGAAAAATCGAACTTTTCCGTGTAGCCATGACGGAAAGAACAATGTGCACCGCGGAAGGGAAACAGGACATTCAAACCCGCGTGGTTACCACCCTCGGCTTGGCCTCGGGTCGGTAATACCCACGCGGGTTGGAATGCCCTGTTTTCCTCGCATGGTGCACAATATACTATAACCATATACATACGCATGCTCCAAAATCATGCTTTGGTGGAAAGGAACTACTTGGTCATATGCTTCCCAATATGATAATCTACTGACCATTGTATTTATTACAAAACTTGTCCACCCATGTATACCCTTTCGGGCTTTTACATCTCCCATCCCCAGTTCCCCGTGTACCGCAATTACGCCGAGGGCCGAAGGGAAAACCTCATGGGAAAAAACCTTGGCCCGGTACAGTCGTCTCTTGCAAGACTACCGCTCGTACGATGAAACCTGTGCAAGTTAGAGCGAATTCTATCTCTAAAAACACCCCTGACATTTCCCCGACTGGGAATCGAACCCACGAATCTCATGTGCCAACCCCCTACGCTCTAACCGCACGGCCACCGCACGTCGGTATGGTATTTATTATTAAATCGATAAAAAATCTCGAAAATCCAAAAAAATTTTATGCGTTTTATGAGAAGTTGCCGCAGATTTAAGTTGCGCGCGCAAAAACTGTCGTTAACTGTCAATTTGCACTCATTTTTCAATATTCAACGAAAATTATTCATGTAATTGACCAGAAAAAAATACTGTTTGTTGGCAAGGATATTATTTATAAATGCGCAAAATTTTATTGTTCTGCGATCATTTTTGAGTTTCATCACAAAGTTTTTGTGGATTCCCATAAAACCACGGCTTAAAGATGGATTATAAAAAGAATTATGATTAATTAACGGTGCTCGCCACTCCCCTGAAATTTTGTACATCCTTTCCCAAGCCGAGGTACCTAAGGTATGTTAGGAGGTACCTAACATAAAATTTTCATTAAATCGGTACAGTTCCTTCTAATTCTTTATATGTCGGAAGGAACTCCTTAACCCAAATATATGAAGAAAGGGCCCTTGCCCTGCATATAGTGACAAAGAAAAAGCTTCGAAAGCAGAGAATGAGAATGTCACAGGAGTCAGTTTCTCTTAAAGAAAAGAAGCGAGATAACCTTTCAGTGAATAGAATGATTTTAATTTAACTCTACGTGTTTTTATTGAAGATGTCTCGTCCATTCCCACAATTCGAATGCATCCATTAAAACAATAACTTCCCAATATGATAGAAAAACTTTAATTTGAATATGTTAATGTCACTGGTTTAAATTCCTCCGATAAAACTGAATAAAAAACGTAAAGGCATTTTCTTGACATACTTTTCCGAATTAGTCATCATCCAAACTTTCACGTACCTTACGATTTTAGACAGAAATTTTTGGCAGTATACACTCACCAATCATTAATTTACAAGCTGTATCTGAAAAATATCCGCCCTGACCATTAGCCAAGGCCGACCTCAGTTCACCCGATGATATTTGGCCACTACCATCTCTGTCAACGGCTTGAAACCATTTTTGTACATCTGGAGATATTTCTGGAGTTGTAGTAGTGCCATACATTGAACCCTGCATATTTCCAAGATTCTGTTTTTGGTCGCAATAACGAAAGAGGAATCAATCAAGAAAAGAAAAAACAAATCCATGTAAACAAAAGTAAGATAAAAGTCTGGATATTGTAATAATAATGTCTACACAAGAACTTCAAATAAAAATAACGGTCTAATCAATTATAATAATAAAACGGAAGAATTGATCCGTTGATATGATCAGATGATGAATTGAAGTTAAAATGCAGAAAGACAATAAATACTTACAGGATAGGCCATTTTAGAAATTTCAAAATGATCTGATCTTTACATCGAAATCAATCCACTCCTCTCATCAAAGTGATGGTCAATCATTCACGGTATCCTTTAGTAATGAAGGTAATGCATTAATTGTTGTGTTCTGCTATATTGTTCAGCTGAGTCGTTCAGCAAATACTTCAAGGTTAAACCAGAGATTATAGGGGAGATTGCTAGGGCTTATGGAAAGGCTTGGGCGAGTGATTCATTGCGGCGGCTACGGAACTACGCCCAGAGAGCCCGTACGTGTAAGTAAAACAGGTCGCGAGCCCGTGAGTGTCGATAATTTTCAGAGTCCGTGCGTGTTGATAATGTACAGAGCCCGTGAGTATGGATAAGACAGAGCGCGAGCCCGTGAGTGTCGATAATTCGAGGCGGTCGTGAGTGTCAGAAAGGTAGGGCACTTATCGAAATGACGATGACGTCCGAAAACGAACGAAGACATCCGATGTACCGGAGAGTGGGGGTATGATGGAGACACAACCGATGAACGGAATGAAAAAGCGAGTTAACGTTCATAAATACGCCATTTGTTTAAAAAATTGAGGGAAAATTATCTCGAACATGTATACTCAAACGATTGAGAATCGTCTGAAACGTGGAGATTTATTAGTCCCTCGGAACTTTTTTTTTAAACGATTTCTTTTTTGTTAACAAATTCAAAAATGATTAAACAAATTCGGGAAAAATAGAGCCGTTGAAAAAAAAAGGTTCCGAGGGACCCATAAATCTCGACGTTTCAGACGATTCTCAATCGTTTGAGTATACATTTACGAGACAATTTTTCCCGAATTTGTTTAAACTTTTTTCAATTTGTTAACAAAAAAGATATCGTTATAAAAAAAAAGTTCCGAGGGACCAATAAATCTCCACGTTTCAGACGATTCTCAATCGTTTTAGTATACATTCGTGAGACATTTTTTCCGCAATTCGTTCAACAATTTTTCGAATTTTTTAGAGTGAACTCATTTTTCATTCCGTCCATCGGTTGTTTCTTGATCGTACCCCCACTCCGCTTTATATCGAATGTTTTCGTACGTCACGGTTTCCTCGAATTATCGATACTCTCGGTTTCACGCTGTCCCGAATTATCTACACTCTGGGGCTCGCGCTCTGTCTTATCCATACTCACGGGCTCTGAAAATTATCGACACTCACGGGCTCGCGACCTGTTTTACTTACAGGTACGGGCTCTCGATCTGCTTTACTTACAGGTACGGACTCTGACCCTGTTGAAGGTTTTGTACAGGCGCTGGCAATCTCCCCTATAATCTCTGTTTTTGGCGCTAAAACCTTTGTTAAAACTGTCAACTCATAACCAAGAATTCTTTTACCATTCATGTGCCTTTGTTTTTTTTCTATTGAGCGGAAAAATAGAAAGATAAGTACCTATGAATTTCGGACTTCATGAAGATCTGATCGGATGAAAATGAGGTTGAAACAATACTTTAGATTGAATGTTATATAACTACAAGTGATTTTTAATATTACTATAACAATGGCATTGAGGAACACCGGTAAATATCGCCCTGAGAAGGCGAATAATTGGAAAAACAAACTCGATACAGATTCTACTGTGCCAAGGTAAATAATTGTCACATCAATACTTGTAAAAGTGTCTGAATTATTATCTGATTCATTTTTCAATTGTCAGAGAGAACACAGCTGAAGGAAGATTGATGCAAGCGAATGAAAACGTCAGAGTTGACCATTTATATGGGTTTGATAGAGTATCAGACAACAAGGAAAGGATTGGATATCTGATCAACATGCACGCAGTAATTAGATAACTGACTCTTTTGAGGATTTTTATTAATAGTAATAGTAATATCCAGCGACTGTCGAAACTTCTCGGGTATAACCCGATTTTTTTATTGTTTGACAACAAGAATAATCTAAATTTCAAAGCGAGAATAAAAATTGTAAGTGGGCAACGCAAGAGTTTTTTTTATGAAAAAACTTTTTTTTATTATCCATAAACAGGAAAACATTGGGAAAATACCCAATTAATTTTCCATGTACAAGTAATATTTGACGAATTACTTCATCACTCGAAATTCGGGTGACCAGGGTGCAGTAAGTAGCATCGGAATACATTTACACAATCATGCAGAGAAACGAAAAACTCTGACAAACTAAATTCGAAATTGATTGCTTCCAAAGCGACTCATTTTGCGATTACGTATGAACTGGCCCACTTATAGATTTACCCTTTGATTTATCATATAGAATATGCAGCATGCACTGCATTGAAAGATGAAAAACATTGAAAAAGTACTAGTAAATTTTCGGGGGAAACTTTGATTGGCTGAAATTCGAGTTTGAGAAATAATGAATTATATTGCTAAATTGCTAAATACTAAGTGGATTCAAATTGGGAATTTTTTGCATTATTGACTATTAGATGATAGAATGTTCAAGTTCATATTTACATAGGAAAGTATTTATTGTTCCCCAATGTCTTGTTTTACTCTACTTTATTTATGTTCAACAGACTGAAATTGTTGAAGAGGATAAACGTCTTATCAGCGGAGTGGACTATTATTTCCTCGAAGAAGACTGCACTCGCTTCAAGGTATCCCTCCCCTACCACCCATACTTCTACATAAAATGTCGAAAAGGCACTGAGCAAGAAGTTTCGACCTTCCTACTCAAAAAGTACAACGGCGTCGTCTCAAAAGTTGAAATAATAAAGAAAGAAGATCTGGATCTGCCTAACCATCTTTCAGGTCTGCTGCAAAAATACCTCAAACTCTCCTTCGCCAATCTTATCGACATGCAAAAAGTCCGGCAAGACATTAAACGTGCAGTAAAAACAAATACGGAGCGTGATAAAGGTCATAGTTACTACTCCGACCTCTGGACATCTGCCGAGCATCAAGAAACCGACACCTTTACCAAAAAGAACATAATCGACCATATGGATAACATAATCGACATTCGAGAATTCGATGTGCCCCACCACGTTCGTGTCAGTATAGACCTCCAGATCTTCGTGGGTTGCTGGTACTCCGTGAAGTCCAAAGGCACAGATCCCCCCAAAATAACACCAAGGCCAGATATTCTCGAGACAATAGATCCCATCGTCATCGCATATGATATAGAAACCACAAAACTCCCCTTGAAATTTCCGGATGCCACGACAGATCAAATCATGATGATCTCCTACATGGTGGACGCTCAAGGCTACCTTATAATCAATCGAGAGATCATCTCCGAGGACATCGAGGACTTTGAGTATTCCCCAAAACCCGAATTCGAGGGCATCTTCAAGGTTTTCAACGAGGCCAACGAGAAAGCTACTATTCGAAAATTCTTCGACCACATTCTGGAACTTCGGCCCCACATATTCGTCTCTTACAATGGGGACTTTTTCGACTGGCCATTCGTCGAAACCAGAGCATCATTCTACGGAATGAATATGAAGGAATTAATTGCCTTCTCCAGGAACCGAGATGACGTTTATGCAAGTCGCCCTGCAATCCATATGGACTGTCTTTCGTGGGTCAGACGAGACTCCTATCTCCCGGTGGGCTCTCAAGGCCTCAAGGCAGTGACAAAGGCCAAACTACGATATGATCCTGTCGAGATTGAACCTGAAGAGATGTGTAGATTGGCTGCTGAAGAGCCAAAAACTCTTGCAAACTACTCAGTCTCCGATGCAGTAGCAACATACTACCTCTATCAGAAATATGTTCATCCCTTTATATTTGCCCTCTGCACAATCATCCCTATGGAGCCTGATGAGGTCCTTCGTAAAGGTTCTGGAACACTTTGCGAATCTTTACTAATGGTTGAAGCTTTCAAAGCAAACATTATTTTTCCAAATAAACAAGAGACTCAATTCAACAAACTAACATCTAATGGCCACGTTCTGGACACTGAAACGTACGTTGGAGGCCACGTGGAAGCTTTAGAATCTGGGGTATTCAGGGCAGACATTCCTTGTCGTTTTAAGATCATTCCAAGTGCAGTGGATAGTCTCCTGAATGCTGTAGAAAAGTCTCTGAAATATGCTATTCAAGAAGAAGAGAAGGTGTCCTTAGAGCTGGTGACGAACTTTGACCAAGTTGTTAATGAAATCAAAGCAAAGCTCCAGACATTAAAAGAGCAGCCATTAAGACTCGAGAAGCCAGTGATCTATCACTTGGATGTAGGTGCTATGTACCCCAATATTATCCTGACGAATCGATTACAGCCATCAGCAATGGTAAACGAGACAAGTTGTGCTGCCTGTGACTTCAACAAACCAGGTGCTGCCTGCAAACGAGATATGCAGTGGATGTGGAGGGGGGAAGTTCTATCAGCTTCCTTGGGGGAGTACCAGAGGATACAGCAGCAGTTGGAGACTGAAAAGTTCCCTCCACTCTTCCCTGGAGGGCCCCGTCGGGCCTTTCATCAGTTATCGGAGAAGGATCGCGCAGCTTATGAGAAGAAACGACTTACTGAGTACTCCAAGAAAGCTTACAAGAAAGCCAAGATTATGAAGACTGAGGAGAGAACTCAGACAATCTGTCAGAAGGAGAATTCATTTTATGTGGATACTGTTAGGGCTTTTAGAGACCGAAGGTACGAGTACAAAGCTCTGACCAAGGTTGCGAAGACACAGGTTGCAGAAGCTGTTGCTAAAAATGATGCAGGGGAGATCAAATCAGCGAAGAATCGAGAGATCCTTTATGACTCACTTCAACTTGCTCATAAGTGCATTCTCAATTCTTTTTATGGGTATGTTATGAGGAGGGGATCGAGATGGTTCAGTATGGAAATGGGAGGGATTGTTTGTTATACTGGCGCTCACATAATCATGAAAGCTAGGGAAATCATAGAACAAGTAGGGAGACCTTTGGAGCTCGATACCGATGGCATCTGGTGCATTCTTCCGGCGTCATTCCCTGATAATTTCATCATTCACACGACTCATTCAAAAAAGTCTAAGCTCACAATTTCTTATCCCAATGCTGTGCTAAACTTTATGGTGAAGAATGAGTTTACGAACAATCAGTATCATGAATTGGTCGATAAGGAGACTGGAATGTACGAAATAAAACAAGAGAACTCGATATTCTTTGAGGTTGATGGACCTTATCTAGCCATGGTTCTTCCAGCTGCTAAAGAGGAGGGAAAAAAGCTGAAGAAACGATATGCTGTCTTCAATTTCGATGGATCGTTAGCTGAATTGAAAGGATTCGAGGTGAAAAGGAGAGGTGAGTTGCAGTTGATAAAGAATTTCCAGTCATCGGTTTTCGAATGCTTTCTAAAGGGTGGAACCTTGGAGGAATGCTATCAAGCTGTCGCTGAGGTTGCAGATTATTGGCTAGATGTTTTATATTCGAAAGGAGCTGATATACCAGATACCGAGCTATTTGAGTTGATCTCTGAGAATAAATCAATGTCGAAAAAATTGGAGGACTATGGCGCCCAAAAGTCAACATCAATTTCCACTGCTAAACGTCTTGCTGAATTTCTGGGGGATCAAATGGTGAAGGATGCTGGATTGGCTTGCAAATACATAATCTCGAAGAAGCCTCATGGGGCTCCTGTGACTGAACGAGCCATTCCTCTGGCTATTTTTCAATCAGAACCTAGTGTGACGAAGCATTATTTGAGGAAATGGTTGAAAGAGCCTGGATTGCAAGATTTTGATATCAGGGAAATTCTAGATTGGGGCTATTATATTGAACGTCTTGGAAGTACTATTCAGAAGATCATTACTATCCCGGCGGCTATGCAGGGAATTGCTAATCCTGTTCCTCGTGTGAAACACCCTGATTGGCTTCATAAAAAAATTCTTGAAAAAAATGATACCAAGAAGCAGAGAAAGATCACTGATCTTTTTGAAGCAATTCCACGATCGAATCTCGATGATATTGAGGACACAGCGAGTCCATCATCAATTTTCAAGAAACCCCAACCGGTGGCTCACAAACGAAAACGAGGATCGGAGACTGATGAAGAAGACATTAATAAAAGCTGGAAAGAAGTGTTAGGAGCCCCACCACCTTTTGGTAAGACTAAAGAAGAGCGAGCGGCTTGGTTGGAGTTTCATAAGAGAAAATGGGAGTACCAGGCCAAGCAAAAGGGCTACCAGAAGAAGAAGCGATTGCGAGCGACGAATGAGCCCATGGAAGTTCCTAGAGGGTTAATCAGAAATACAGAAACATTAACTCTATCAGGGTTTTTGAGGAAAGCCCAACGAAAACTCATTGACACACCCTGGCATATCCTGCAGATAGTCGAAACTAACGAGCCAGGACTTTTTCGACTTTGGACTTTAGTCTCTGGAGAGCTTCATCAGATTCGTTTGATTGTTCCTAGGATTTTCTATGTCAACACCAGAAAGGTGAGGTCGGAGCCTGGGCCCAACGATCTCTGGAAGAAGTGCAATAAGATTCTTCCCCGATCACGACCAGTTCACAATCTCTATCAGTACACTGTCCCAGAGGATCTCTATAAGAAACACAGTCAAAACTTAATGGAGAGTGTAACTAATCCTGAGAATGAGGGAATCTACGAGACACAGACGCCATTGATCTTCAGGGCGATTCTAAATCTCGGATGCATCTGTTCGGTGGACCCAAGGTCATCAAAATCAGAGTCTGACACTTTCCAATTGCATCAGCTTCAGCTGGTGGCCAGTACAGACTCTTACTTAAGAGAGCAGAACCTCAAACATATATACCTCTATCACCACTGGTCTACCAACCGCCAGAGAGCAATGTGGGGACTGTTCCTTGGGCCAAGTAAACGAGTCCACATTTTCGTGTTAGACAGTGTAAGGACTAATCAAATGCCTTCTATGAGTGCTCTGTACACTTCGGAGAGGAACAGTGCAATGGAAGATCCTGAGGCCAATGGCTTCTTGTCATCCATCCCAGAGGAGATGCAGTTCGATGTGAGAATGGAGACCAGTCAATTTGCAATCAACAAATACTTGCAGGCAGCCTTGAAAAATTATAAAGATGAGAAAAAAGGAGCGACAGTACTAGCTGTTCAATCCCCCATGGAATTCTCTAAATTAGTGTCAGAAATGCCAGCTCTTGGAGAGCTTCCTGTTGTGAACACTCACGCTAACGACATTGATAATCTGTTTGGAACCCTTGAGTGGCAAAAGGCAGGAGCATTGAGCATGGTAAGACATTATCTTAAAGTCGAGCACATCCTCAGTCTCATGACCGATCAAGCTAGCTTCTTTAAATCTCCAATTGGCAATATCCCAGCTGACGCTACCCTTTTTGCTGCTGATTTATTCTATGCCAGACATCTTCAGAAGCATAACTTTGTGCTTTGGTGTTCCCCAACGGAAAAACCAGACCTTGGAGGAAGCGAGAATGATGATAATAGATTGTTGACGGATTTTGAAGAGAGTACACGCTGTACAACTAATAAATCAGGGACTTATTCAAGTGTCTTAATTGAATTGGGAATCGAAAGTTTAGCGATCAACACTCTTCTGCAGGCACCCAAAGTTCACGATATTGATGGGACTACATCATTCGTGGGCTTTCACACAGCTCACAAAGCCAGTCTTCAAGAGATGGCTACTGATGACAATACAAAGATTGCAATTCCTAGTTATGACGAAGCAGTTCTGTGTTCAGCCAGTTTTAAAATTTTAAGGATGATGGTCAATGGGTGGCTGAGAGCGATCTCCTTACAGAAGAATGTCTTCGCTGATTACCAGGTGATTCATTTCTACAGGTGGCTGAGGACACCAAATGCTCTCATGTATGATCCAGCACTCCGGAGAATTCTTCACAACTATATGAAAAAGCTGTTTTTCCAGTTAATCGCTGAATTTAAGAAACTCCAGTCGATAATCGTCTTCGCCAACTTTAACAAAATCATTATTTGCACTAAGAAAAGAACTGTGGCAGATGCCATGGGGTATGTGGAGTACGTTGTAAAAGCTATCAAAAACAAAGAATTATTCCATAGCATTGATATTACTTATGAGCAATGTTGGGAATATTCAATCTGGCTGGATGCAGCTAACTTCTGCGCCATCAAGGGGAAACTACCTGAAGAGAAGTTGCAAGAGGATGGCACGGATCTTGATGATGATGAGGATGATACGCCCGAGATAATCATGAACTGGAGCTTGGCTGAGATTCTTCCACAGGAAGGAGCCTGTGAAAGTAGCTTCAGGGCTATTGTGGCAGGCTATGTGACAGCTATTTATGAGTGTATGAATGAAATGGAGTCTGGGGGATGCACACCCAGACCTAGGAAGAGGAGGAATAATTCGTTGAGTCAGACAATCAGTGCTCAGTTGGGATTGGGCTCGCTGGAGAATACAGCTGACTTCGCAAAAAAGTTAATTGCAGGAGAAATGAGCCAAAAGTTGTTTCAGATTGTTCAGAAGATGCAGAAGAAGATTCCCGAGAAGATGATCACAATGGAAAAACATCCGAATTTAGATCTAGCGGGGCATAATTCTATGAAGATACAGCCAGCATTAGAGTTCGTTAAGGCGATATGTAAGGTCTTAGGATTGGATAAGGAACTGGAGGCTGAGGTTTATGAGTTGAAAACAAATTTACTCAGGTTGATTGGTGTGGGAGGGTTTAGTGAGATTGCAGAATGGAAGGATCCCTGTATTTCTTTTGTCGTGCCCGAGATTATCTGTAAAGCTTGCAATCACACGAGGGATGTAGATCTCTGTAAAGATTCGCATCATCGGTTTGATAAGGATGATGTTTACGCCTGGTACTGTCCCATATGCATGACGGATTATGAGAATGAAGAAATTGAATTTTTGTTGATTGATACGTTAAATAGGAAGACTATGGCATACGTCCTGCAGGATTTAGCGTGTAAGAAGTGTCAGGAGATCAAGAGAGATAATATTATGAGCCACTGTAGCTGTGCTGGGGAATATAAGACTACAGTGGGAAAAACCGAGATGTTGAATTGCGTGAAGATCTTGAGAGCTATAGGAAGAAAATGCAGGATGACATTGCTGGAGGATACTATTCAAAACACAAGGCTTTGAAAGTCCTAGAGAAAGAGATTTCTCTATTGTCTAAAAATCTGTTGATAATAAAAAATATTTTTGGATCGCTCAAGACGGTACAGCTATTACTAACGTTATTTAAGAGTGAATGAGAACAATTTTTTGGGAACCCTGTCATTGGTTCCTATTCAGTTGGTTATTGGTATTTGTGTATTTATAAGAAATCCTCAAGAAAAAAAATATATTTTCAATTTTTCTCTTCATGCCTGAGTATTTGTAAACGACAGTTTTTTCAATGAATTATTTTGCCATATATATTTTACTAAATTTATAGCGAATATTAAAAAAGGGTCAGAAAAATTATTCCCACAGGAATGAACTGTGCGGTAAAGAAGGATGTATTCTCGTAACTAGGACAATTCTACAATCCAAAATAAGATTTTTTACCAACTCTCAATTTTTCAGCGTTCAATTCTTTCTGGTCTTTACAAATTTGATTAATCTTTTTTGAAGGAACAAGTCATGCCATTCATTATCTTAAACTTTCTCTGTTATTCTCTTAGTTTACAAGTCATATTTTTATGAAGTTTATTTAATTTTTTGTATTTTCCTACTGATTTTGAGTGCATTTTAATAGAATTTATTTGGCTTTGGAACCTGCTTCGATGTCAACTTGCGGATCTAAAACAAATATAATACTTAATAGTTTTCATACATGAATTTTAGGCAAATTTCAATTGCACTTATCTACTTACTTTCCTTCATAATTTTGTAACGAAATGTATAATAAATATGTATAATAAATATTGATTTACCATCGAATTTGAATGCTGGGAATTTGGTCATATCTACACCTGGGCCACCACCGTATTGCGTGGCAAGCCTCTCCAGTTCTGATTTAATTTCCTTTTGCAGTTCAGGAGTTGGATCAACCATTTTTCCGCCACTAAAATAGAATTTAAATTCGATATTAATTAATCTCTCGAAATTCAACTCACTCGCAAATACCTGTAGAGGAATAAGTGCAGAGAGAAGTACAAAAGTGTTATCTATATTTTTTTACTAAAATTCTAATCTTTCGAGACGATAGATTACTTATTAACTATTCTGCGCTTTTAATTATACTCAAAATGTTCATTTCAAAATGTCTAGTTAGTTTTCTAGTTAAACCGGTCTCTATAAATTCTACAACAGTGATAGGGAAAAAGGATTTAGACCTTAGATTTAAAACTAAGCACATATATAGTCAAGTTTTCGCTTTGCTCGGTTTTAAATACGTTTTTGGCCACAATGACATAAAATAACATCATAGCCACGGCGAAAAAATGATTCTCACTCATGCGCTTTATAATCCACTTTTTCCGTCCCAAGCGTGAAAATTACTATTAGGACTCCTACATTCACTGAATACCGAATACAATAAAATTGTTTTTTTCCTGAAATCGAGAAATAGAAAAGATTGAAATAATCGAATTTTCTCTAACTTTTCTGAAATTGTAAGGATTGTCAATTCACTGAAACATCGACTCGAAGTTTTCAAAATTTTCTTGAAAAAATTTGAATAAGTTATCTCTGAAAATCAAGCTCAGGTGAAACAGTATCATCTGAAACGTAAAAATTGATTATTGCTCGAGCAAGTTTTATTTCACTTTCTTACGTGAAAATGTTCTAAGTTTTTTGCAAAAATTGTAAAATGATTTGTAAACAATTGAAGGACTTAGAGAATCAGAGAGAAAATTATAAGGAACATATAAAATCAAAATTTTTGGCATTCAGTCAAAAATTGACGTTGAATCATACAAACATTTTTATGGCCATATTTTTCTGAGAAAATTTCAAATCGAATTAAGTATTAATGAAAGTCTTATCTTTTAAGCAAACTCACATGGACTCAATTGGAATACAGAAAAAAATTATTGTCTACTTATGTATATAGTATTTGGAAATGTTTTACCTATTAAATACATATATGCTTAATATCTTATCTTTTCCTAAATACTTAAGTATTTTAACACTTAGAATTGAGACGTCTCGAATTATTTAGGTCTCAAATACTTGGACTTCTAATATAAAAATTTTATATTATTTAATTTAAAATTGAATATTCAATTATTGCCATCATTGCTTCTCAAATAATAATTCAATTGGAGAGTCTTTTAATATTTCGTTCTAAATTGATGGCTTAGAAAAGTATTTGTATGGAAAATAAAATTACGAAAACAGAATGTACTCACGAGCTCTTGGATTTGTACTCCCGGATTTTATCCAGGAAGAGCTGTTGGATTGGGTCTGATACCTTTTGCATGACGGGCGCCATTATTCCAATGTTGCGCTTGATAACCTTTGGATATTGAATAACAAGTCTTGGGGAGAGCATGATTGCTACAACACAAATAATTAATAAAAATTAATATAAATACTCATGGAAATACTTCATTTTTCGAATGTCAACTGGTCTTTTTGGATTATTATATAATAAATAGATCCACTCGATTATTGATGATAGGTTAAGATCGTTTAATACTCATTCCGAAGCAATAAAACATCCCTTCAAATTCACAATAATATATTATTGAGAAGATTATTTTATTCTATAAACTATCAACGTGTACCGATTATTTTGAGTTTAACGAAAGTAAATTTTTTATTACCCGAATTCCAATTTCAATCGACTGCCTTCTATGGAACAATGGCCGACAAGTACCACCTACTACGTTAATCAGTTGCAATTGTAATTATATACGTTCAGCCAGCGATATCATTCTTGAATTTCTAAATATATTCAATCGAATTTTTATTTTAATTTAAGAATTTATCTTCAAATGTGTTCTTCCTTTGAATATCTAAGAAAAAACTATTCCAGCATGTGCTGTCCACGGCAGTATTTTTAAATTTTTGTTTTTACCATTCCCATACATAAAACACCGCACTGAGGAAATGTTCAACAAGGGAATATAAACAAAAGCATCGTTTTTGATTTATTGGATTACAAATATTTAAGATTCCCTGTCTACTCGTGAGGTTTCAGGCCTCAAAGTTTTTAATTTGTTTGCAAATATTCCCATCTTCTACGTATTTTTTCGTTGTGATTTTTAATGATGCGTTTCGCCCCAATCGAATTTTAAACTTTTTTTTTCACACGTAATTTATGGCTTCCAGGGATGAATTACACCAATGATTGTAACGACCAAAATAGTCAGTTGTTCAGTGAAGAGTTGAGAAAATATAGAAATTTTTGTAATTAATTATCATTACGACGCATTTGCAGCCAAGAAAAACATTAATTTTCATTACAAAAAAACGTGATTATTGGGATGAAAAAACACTTTTAATTTCCATGAAATTTTTACAGTTAAAAATACTATATTTTCCGCTCGTTTTGCGGAAAATATGCAACTGCATGATTAGATCTCAGAAGGGAATTTTTTCATGAATTAAAAAATAAAAAAGAAATTGGAAAGTCAAGACTTTTTAAGGAATACTTTCTATATATGTATTTTCGATAGGAAATCATATTATTTGCATATCTTTACCTTAGGAGAACATATAAAAGCTTCTACACTTTAATAAAAAATATGATATATAAATAAATAATATGATTCATGATAATATCATGATAGTATAAGAGCACCTATGCTCTTCATGTAAATAGTTGTAAATAATATGATTCCATGGAAAATATACACTGAGAGAAAAATGTAGTAGTTTCAACGGAATATGGTGCCAACCACGCGTTCTCTTGTTTCGAAATAAAAATTGATTCGATTGATGTTAAAATCGTTGATTCAATGAATCTATTTCTAAGGTAATGAAATTCGGTTTCGATACGAGAGAATACGTGTGGTTGGCACCATGTGCCGTTGAAACTACTACATTTTTCTCTCAGTGTATATATAAGAACTGTTCCTAAAAGAAACTTGAATTTCCAAACAGTTCTTTTTCAAAATTGATTAAAAAATCCTCTTCTGAGATCCAATGATGCGATATATTATTAATAGCAATGGAAATTTGACGGAAAATAACAGTCGGTTTTTTTCAATAATCACATTTTTGTGATGAAATTCAAGGTTTTTTGGCTCTAAACATGTCATAATGATGATTAATTATAAAATTGCTAAATTTTTTCATTTCTTCACCTAATAACTGCCTTTTTTGTCTTTATAATTATTTGCGTCGCTCATCAAAATTTTCCAAATATAGTCAGGGGACAATGAAAATTTGTGATTCATTGAATCAAAAAGTATAAAATTAAGGAACGGAATATTTTTTCACGCTAATCTGATCAGCAATGTAGAAAAAATCTTCAAAAATATGAAAAATATGAATGAAATGTATTTCCGAAAAACCCTCATAAATTATCCGACAATGGAAAAATTCATTCATAAATTTATGATTATTATTCAATGATTTTCGAAGTCTCATTATTGTTCCACAATTTACATATAATCCACATCTAACCATTTTTCTACGTTTTTTCCTGAACGTTTGTGAATACTCTAAAAAGTCTAAACAAAAGATTAAAAAAATTTGAGTGAGTAACCGAATAATGATAAAACTAAAAAGATCCTGTCCAAATTTTCAGTTGATATCTCTGAGAAAAGGAATATTTCCAAAACTTCATATGTACGGCTAAATATGTTTTGATTAATTCAGATAGAAGGTATCGAAACGAATATTTCAGGAGGAGAAAAAATAAAATCAATTGATTGATCTCGATAATATTACCGAAAAACAATTTAAGAACAAATAGTTATTTTAGGAAAAACTATCTGATCAATCGTGGTAAGGTTTCCCACAGAGCTAGTCCTAGCCAAGTACTAGCATCTGACAAAGTTTCAGATTTTTCTAAATGAATAAATATAGTCTCATTTTCACCACTGAAAATGGTCGCCAAACTTGGTATCTTTACATTTCAGACCATTTCACATAATTTCCAATAAAACTTAGAGAGTGTGAATAAGAATGAGCATAGAACAATAAGAATACTTCAATTGGAATGGAAAAAAAACAAGTATAGGTTTTAGTGTAAATGTGGTATGTGGTGGATGATGGAATGTCAATGCCTGAAGTGTTGGAAAAAGCTCAATGAATTGTCCTTTAATCCTTTAGTAGAGTAAAGCACATCGTGTAGCCCCCACCGTTGATTTGCGAGCCAATGGTAGTTCAGAACGGTTCAACTTTGGCGATTGGAAGGATTGGAGGGGATGGGCAGAGGAGAGGAGAAACCGCTTGATTCCCTCGCCCCCGCCAGCAGGCGAACCGCTCGTTTCATTCTCGTTTTAGTTTCATTCATGAACGTCGCGGCCACAACGCGACGGCCCCAGCATCATACCACGTACTTCCCCTTTTTTTTACCTCTTCCTTTATCATTTATTTTCCTTAAACAATCCCAGTGCATGTGCCAGTGAAATCAGAAGAAAAAACAGTGCAGTGTCTACTATTCAATGAATTCAAGTGCTTCCAGTTATTAAAAATATCTTGCACGTGATAGTATCATTATCTTCGTTTGTCGTTTGTGTTTAGAATAACAACAATAAGAGATTTTTCTCGTTATATACAAGTGATACAACATACGTTCGATCATTTCTTAGAGGCGAAGCGTCGAAATTAACAGTGAAAAGGTATTAAACTTCTATGAACAATTGTTCATGGACTTTGTCTTGACTTGATCATTGAATCATTCGTGTATATTTTAATTCTTTCTATTAGCATATTTTCTTATGATTCAGAGTCTTCAACTATTATGCTCAAAGAGTAAAGAGTGAAATACCAAGTTCAATCCAATTTATTCATTCAATATTTATCTCCGCATTCACCAGAATAGAGCGGAATATAGCGACCAACATTTTTAATAGATATACGTGGATGATATCAGTACTCTAGAGTTTACACTCACGTATGTCATAAACTTTCCAGAAAGAAATGATATTCGCCGTTGCGTAATCATTATTTAGATAAAGTTATTCATTATTAGAGCACTTGTATGTAATTTCAATTAGTCAGACATTTTAGGTGTTAGAGATTGAATAACTTAGAAAAAAGAGTATAAATCATGTCCATTCATATTGAACAAGTTCTCCCTGTCCTACGATTTCGATATTAGGGAGATATTTGTTGTGTTAATGATAATGTAGGGAGGTTTCTGACGATGGTGTGTTGATAAATTAAGTGAATATCTTGTGAAGATGGTTTTACTCTACTTGCTTCACTAATTATCGAAGAACTGGACATTTGTTTCAATTTGTGTAGCGTGCGCACCTTCGAATCTCCATATTAAATGGAATTTGAGAGGGATAGGATAATTATTGAATTGTTAATTTTTTTATAAATTTGGTTTAATGTGAGACTGAGTGGGGATTGGTGGAGCTATACATATTGGGTGCAGTTTTTGTTGAGTTTTCTCGATGCTCTCGGTCCTCTCGGCATGGCAACGCCGCGGGGCTCACAACGCCTCTCTCGGTTTTCTGTTGGTTTCAATCTTTCAATCTCTCGCCTTGTCTTACTCTTTGGTACCTCCACAAAGAATAGTCCATGGGAGAGAGAAGGACTTGGGGTGCCGAGACGAATGAAGGGCGAAAGGGACGAAAGGGACGCCTAGTATCCAAGAAAAGATTCATGGCTCTCTTTCTCGTTTTTCGGTGGATTTTTTTTTTCTCCTCTTTTTTGAGGTTTCTTTGGGAACTGTTGCTGTCCTCGACGCTCCTCAAACGCATGACGAACAGCTTTTGTCGAGAGCTTGGTTAAACACTTTCCAATCATTTTTTGTTCACTTCTTGGAGGTCCTTTTTAGCTTTTGTTTTATTTTTAAAGAAACCCCTGAGATTGGATGAATGTCGAGCAGTTTTATCATTTTTATTATGTATGCAAAACGTGGATTTATCATTTTACAATGTATTTGTGAATTTCTTCAACGAAAATTATTTTGAATAAGGAAGATGTTTCTATCAGTACCGACATATTTATAGAATAATGTCGATTAAATATTTGATATTAGTACGAATAGTCAATTATTTTCAATAAAAAAATTGTATTATACGAAAAATTGATTTTTAATTTTATAATTATTTTGAATACAAATATTAGGGGCCAGCAATTTACTGCTTTTTTCAATGAAATTATGCAGACAAAATGATTTAAGTAAAAAAAATATTTGAGTAAAAAAAATCAGCCTTTATGAGGGTACATGAGGGTTTGTCGACTACCCATCTAATTTAGGAGGTTCTTGAGAAGGCGGATAGGATGTTTGATGCCCGCATCTGTCTCTGCTAGATCCCTAGAAGGGGCTAAAGACAATGCTCCAATAAAAATTTTGATACTGCGTTATGGGCTTCAGTGCTTCCGTTCTAAAACTCGAAATATTCTTGATGAATACGCCTAGAATGTAAAATTAAAAATTTTTATTTTCCTTACACCTGACTGCTGCGAATATTAATTTTCTTCATCCCTCGAAGAAGTTACCAGTTTTGAATACAGTAGTTTCCACTATTCTCAGTGTTTCTCTGGATTGGACGATTAAGATCTCGGTTTAACGACGGTCAGAATGTCTAAAATATTCTCAAGAACTGTACAAACAGAAGTATTTACTGTTTTTCTCTTACCTGAAATGATTTATCACTCAAACAATTCGAGTAATTTTCGCATTGACCTAAACTTCCCAAGAGATGCTTTGAACGACTTTTAACTAATGATAATTCAATGATTCGTTAATACTCATTTTAATTGTTTCGAATCGTACGCAGTTTGCTTGTATATTTCTTACATGTGATTGAATAGATCAATCAATAGGATATCAATATCATGATAAGAATCATGATTCTGATCTTATAACACCCACATTTTAACAATGATCCAAAAATCTCACTACAGAAAACTCGTCGTGGTTTTTCTACCGTGATTTTCTCTAGCACTAAAGGAATTTGGAAAATTTGTGAATGAATGAGTGAAATAAATGGATGATAATGCTGTTCCACCATGAAAGAAGTGAGAGACAGGTGAGCAAAATCCGGAGGGTAGTATGAACCCTCGATATAGCGAATAAAAAGGAAGTGAGTTTCATTATTATTTTCCCCTCTCGAAAGCTGGCTTTGGAGTCATCCACCCGAACAGCCGAACAGATCAAATGTTTACTACCTGACCTACACTCAATTCTCGTGTTGTCTACCATCTCACCCTAAACGCCACGGGGGATGACTTCTCCATCCTTCTCTTCTTCATTCCATAAATTTTCTCCATTTCTCTTATCCTCTATTTCTTCGTGAAAATCAGACTTTTTTCTGGACCGGAAAAGAGTCTATTGATCGATATGCCAACCAACGTGTTGTCTCATGGGAGATTAGGATCGATCATCAAATCTAGATGATAATTTTTGGAGTTATCTGGTTTGAGGGACTCCCCCCAAGGAATATAATGATAAGAATTAAGAGAATCTTATCAATGAAAAATTGCAATTGATTTTACTGGTGATGGGAGGAGATTCACGTTCACGTTCCATCTCGTAACTATTTTGCAGGTTTTTCTGAGTGAAGGTATCTGTGTGGGCCTTTCTTCGAATTGTTAGAGCAAGTTTTTTCTCCCTTGCCGGTGGTTCAGCAGAATAGGCCGAAACATACTTAGTAACGGGATTCCACACGTACAGAAAACGGGAGTGATCGAATATTTATCGTTGAAAGGGTATAGGAAAAAGTGTTTATAGTGTTGTGCACAACATCCAGCTTAACGATAAACCAATGGACCATTCTCATCTTAGTTATAATCCCCACTCTTCATTCTCAATTTATGTTTTCACTGACCTTCCACGTTTTATCATAAGTTTTTGGAATATTAGGGGAGCGCAAGTTGATACAGACTATTTTTAAAAAATTTATATTCAATTCTATTAAATTCTTAGACGTATATTTAAGAAATTTGTTGAAATTATGAATAAAAGATAAAGGAAATCGTCATTGTAGATTTGGCAATCTGAAAGATATGATTGTCAACTATTGTAATTTGTGGTTTTTAATTATTGCTTCCAAATGGAACCTTTGTAATCGACCAAATTTAAGTTTCCCATTTTTTATTCTATATCAACTCAATAAAACCCAAGCAGTTTGAAAATGTAATTTTTATACCGTGTCCAAATGCATGTATGGATGTGTGTGTGTGTGTGTGGTATTTTTTTTATTCACCCTCATTTTTACCTAGTTGAATGTTGTGTCTTTCTAATGTTGGTGTCATTGGGTCCCATCCACAAAAATTGATTTTATCCATCCATTATTTGTATTTTTATTTTTATTATATGATATGTGATATAATAGCAATTCCCCACTTGTTATAATTGTAATAATTGTTTATTTTAAGAATTCTTTGATACCTCTTTTGAAAATGAACAATTGTTTTGCAAGCAAGTTCTGTTATTTATTTATAATGAGAAACGAAGGTTGAAAAAAATGACAATATTTTGAGGATGTTAATTCAAATGATGGCTTGATATAACTTTTGGTCCTTCAAATTTATATGGATAGGTTGTGTAATACATCATTCATCTCATAATTGATCATAATTGATAAGTGAAAAATACAATTATTAATTCATTGCCACCAATGGATTGTCATCCATTGTCTTTAATACAATCTGCATTTTTCAATGAATTCTCATAATCGATTATTCATCGTTTTTTAATGCTACTCTGAAGACTTATCGCAAACGACAGGAGGCTGTGTCACACTATACCTTCCTCACACGGATGCTCTTTTATTATTTTTTCTTCAATAATATGCACGTGGGGAGAGGAAAGGTGTACATGCACATTATGTATCGAGTTTAAAGCCTGTGAGAATAGCCGATGGCGATAGAACAGTGGATGTAAGAGGGTTTTCATTCCTTTTTTGGGTGCAGTTTGTATATGTATAGCATGAGCATCTTTTATACAACCACCTACCATCTGTCGTACGGGTGGTGTCAGCGTAACCCGATCGTGTCTTGGTGCATCAGCCAAGGAACCATGGGTGTTCTAAAAAATTCAACACTTTCGGTTACATAATCTTCGATATACATTGCCCCTGTTAAGGGGTTATTGCCGATATCTTCTCATTTTTCATTTTTTTTTTTAATTTCTGGGAACCCAGGGATCAGACTGATGTGAAAAAATATCCCGTTTTTTGGTTTTATCATTATTCAATGACCCATGAATTTTCATAGTTGTTCGGTTTTTGAAATTTTTAGTAAAGCTTTTGTTCATTTTTGCTAGAGTTTATTGAGAACGTAGGAAAAATCTTCGATGGTGATGCAACTTCGTGACGGTATATTTTTTCACGTCAATTTTGTCAACCATCTTTCAGAAATTTGGAAAAAATTTGGAGCATGAAAAGATATTACTAAAACTCCGTTAAGAATGTTCGATGTCCTTTTAGCCAAAATTCACGTTTTTCTTCTTCTTTCAAGCATAAATTTTCCTGAGTTTTTTCTAAATTTTTCAAAAATTTATCCACCTCTTGAAAAAATAAAGGAGTATTATTGTGCAACCTTGTGAGTCATAAAATAATGATAAAATGCAGAAAATTCAATTAATTAGTGTAATTAATTTATTTAATTTATTAATTTCATTTATCCACCTATTACATTTTGGTTATACTTGAGAACAAATTTCGATAAAAATGTCACGTGAGAAGCTACTGTCTCATGTGAATGAAAAGAAAATGGTATAGATCCATCCAGAGGCTCATTGGTATTACTGCTAATGGAATGGATAGAAATAAAGAAAAATGGTAGCAAATAAATAAGACATAAAGCAACAGTCACAAGCCTCTCGCAGGATACGAATGGTTAACTACTTGTCTCCATTGTAAATTTTTTGAAGGCCAGCAGACTTCCTCGATTGTTACAATGAATCTGCTGGTTATTTAAAATCGTTTTTTCGAAATATTGAGGAAATAAGTACAAACAACCTCTTTGTACTTGAATAAATCACCAAACGCATAGAGAAAATATATCAACAACATAATTTCATAAAAAATTTTATGGCTTCCAAATATTAGGTCGTTATCATTTTGGGTTATTTTGAAATTTACTCATCAATTTTCTTAACGTACTAGAAACATGGGATAATAAAAGAGAGTATAATTACGTGGGACGAAAGTATTCTGTCCTTTCCGAGTGAAATCGTAATTTTGAAAAATACTAATAAGAGCGTGGGAGAGGCTTTTGAGCATCATATTTCCGACTTTTGTTGCACATGTGTTGCACTGATGTTGTCCAGTCGCCTTGGCTCCCGGTGCAGGTCCCTATTTTGAAATGATTCGAGGAACTGAATGAGGCATCTTTGAAAACATTAGAATCTCTGTTTTCTTGAAACAATGTTTTGTAACAAAAGTTTTATTCTCCTGTGTTTCAGATAAAAAATGGACATCGAGTCCTCCCTGTATGATTACGAGGAGGAGGACCAGGATTTTTACGAAGAAAACGTGGCCAGAAAGGGCTATCCCATTGACCACCGTGCACTGAAGGTAAATTATGCAAAAATAACTGTCAAATAAGAAAAAAAAAGAAGAATTCATCCTGTAGGATACATTTTAGAAGATTCATAAAATATCGGAAATTTTTATGCGGTTAGTAAAAGCAAGGAAAATGCTCAGAGATATTTGATAATCAGTCAATTTTAAAGTACAAAAATTATCTTTTTTTTTATTGAATTCATTTTCACATTTCTTTTTCATTTTTCATAAAATGTACTTCATCACAACAATCTGCAATAGAAGTTAATGGATTGAATTGAAAAATCAAAACAATAAAATCAATCAATCAAATAAGTATTAAGGATGAAAAATTCAACAGAACTGATTTGAGAACATGCTGAAGGATTTGGTTGTAAAATATCTCCAGACTACAATCTCGAAATGTCGGCTAACGCCTAACTATTTCGTAAATTTCCAGTAGATTCAACTGAAAATACCAAGATATTCTCTCCATTTTGATAATTGTTTCGAAAACTAATTGGGTTATAGAAAAGCCAAACAATTACTTCTTGCCAACTTAATTTCCTTCGAGAAGAATGGTTAATTATAAAAATGTTATCCTCAAACTTTGTTCGTGAAATTCACCTGCCGCCCGTAAATGAAAAATTCTTAGAAAGAGATCTCCTGCCTTCAATGAGAAAATAAATATCACTGATAAGATTATTTATAAATCAACTCTCTATTGGCCCAAGGGTTTACAAACAAAGTCGTTGTTGCCTCTAGTCTTCATGCTCAATTGGCGCGCGTATATAATTACATTATTATTTACGACTAAAGATAATTAACGCGAGAAAATTGTTAAAGCAACAAAATGCTGGAACGTGTGCAACAAATTTAATGACTAAACACGAGAAAGATGAGGGCTGAAAATTGTCAAATGATAACTTGAATGATAGGAGTTTCATTAAAGTTTCGAGTCTAATCGATTCACGGAGTTATACGTTATACGTTAGTCAGAACTGAGCATTCATGAATGAACGTAGACTGTCTTTGTCGTGGATTAGGAGCAGAGGCTTATTTCCCTCTCGCTTGGAAGTACTCAATATTATATGCTACGATGTGTGCAACCATCCGAGAATCACCCAATGAATATAAGCAACGAACAAACACCCACTCACCAGCGAATTTCTCACTCTCCACTCGAATTATAGTGTCTGCTGTAATGCATTTATACGATGCTTCAGTTACTGCTGATAATCCATACGTTTCAAACTTCGAATTTCTTTGGTATTTTTTACTTTTCTACCTCTCCTCATTTCTCCTCATTTCGAATTTCCATCGTTTTTCAACATTTCGAGAGATGAATCTGTTTTTCATTTATTCATTGTAAAAAGTAACTGTTCATATGAATTTATCTTAACAAAAATCTAAAAAAAATTGGTCTTCTTATAAAAAATACTATATTCACTTTACTGTATTTTACTTGTTGAAGTCTGCTGGATATAAAAATTTGATAACAGAGAATTCAAAAAATGTAGAAGCATTATTAAATTTTTACAATTATAAATAGATAGATGATTGACAATGAATTTATCGAATGTGCATTCTCCGAACATTGGAAATATATGTAAAGATAGTAAATTCTTTATAGTATTTTTTACGCCTAGGACGGAAAAAGGGAATCTGGCGAATGCGACTTTATAGTTCGAGTCAGAGACGAGGATTATAACGCGCATGAGTCAGAATTACTTTTTTCGCCGTGGCTATGATGCTATTTTATGTCACTGTGGCCGAAAACGCGATTTAACCGAGCGAAGCGAGTTACCGGCCGCCATGACATAAAATATCATTAATTATGTAATTGGCTTTTCCATGGATAGACAATTTTTTTAACTCGTGTTGATGAAATCTTCTTGATGCATTTTGTAGACTTACATCTCTCGTAACCACTTCAATGTCATTGAGTCTTATATATCACATTTATATGCTGGTAGGGTGATCGTTAGATAACGGATATGATTTTCAAACATCATGATATTTCTCGAAAGAATATATAGTCAATTTCTGGGATTTTTAAATAAAAATGAAAATTTGCGAAAAAATCTTCGGCAATATTCGTTCTATCAATCTAGATTTCCAAATTACCCCGCCTCCCACGATTTCATTATTCAATGCAATGAAATAATCACAAATTTAACGATATTCGATAAATTCTCATGAATAAATCATTCAAAACAAGTAACCACCAATAAGAGATAGAAAATATGTCAACGAGTCTCGCAGACTGGTTCTAACTGCATGACCAGTAGGTTCGTTCTTATCTAGAAAAATTGAATACGATTATCTATCTGTAGAATCTATTGAACTGTTGTTTCTTTGAACTTAGATTAACCCGATAACGATTTTTATAAGATTGAATCACATATGTAAATAACTAAGAGATACACAAGCTAAAGGGTTAAGGTCTCTTCAGACATTCTTAACTTCGCAATCAAAAGTCCATTCTTATGAAAAATAAAATGTCTAATATTCCAAATCATTTGGCAATATAATAACAAAATATATCTTAAAAATTCCGTTCAACAATATCTCCTGAACAAATGAACTTTTTCATGTTTTTTTTCTGAAGCGCTGGCGAAATTTTTTCTTTTTTCATTGATTGTGACAAATGTACTATAGATGTCCAGTATTAAGCATCGTCAAATTAACGAGTTATATTTTTTCTTAAGGCAATTCCTGATCATATTCAAATGGGATTTATATTTTTCTTAACGCGTTTTTTCACTTTTCCTTTCACATGAATTAACCATCACGATGAGTTGGTAGAGAAATGTAATAGTTCGGAATGTGTTTCAAATTTTTCAGTAATTAAAATTATACAATTTTCACATAGATCCTAAAACACCCGTTCCGGAGCAAAAAAGGGATTCGTCAAATGCGGATTTTCGGCAGAATATGATAGAAACATAAATGTTGACCGATCATGAGATTTTTGTGGCATCTTCTTTGGAGGTTGCCTGCACTTCTGTTCAAATTTATCATTGTAAATTCCAAACTTAGCTAAATCACAATGTGTAATTTTTTCCTATCTACTGATTCAGCTGAAAAATCAGAAAAAATGGAATTTAACTGACGTATAAAATTTAATGTTCAAGATTTTTCATTTGAAAGAGGAATTTCACTTCAAATTTTATCCCACGTCACAAACACGAGTCGAACATTTTAATCCACAGAATGAAATATGAAATGGACAAAAAGGAGTGAGATGTGAAGAAGGGGGCGAGTGTTGGTAGCAGGCGAAATGTAACGCATATGAAAGAAATACCGTGGGGATATGGATAGATGTTAGTGTGTGCGGCTGATCCGGGTGTTAAGAAAGACGAGAAGAAGGGGCCATGGCTATTTATGGCCTCTGTCCCTCTTCATGTATGCACGGGATTTTCCTTTTCATTGGTATGTTCTGTCGTGATTCTAACCGTATGAATTAAATCATAAAATTAATTTTTCAACAATAGCATATTTCCGAACTGTTAAGGAGGGGTTGTTTATTCACCCAGAATTGCCGCCCGAGGAAAGACTGAAACCAACCACACGATTGAAAAAACTTCATCGTAACGGCCCACCATTTCTCCATTTTCAAGTTGAGATTTTCAAGTTGGCAGCTCTGCCAAATATTTAGTACCAATTTTGACACAACAAATTTTAGGAAGCTCTACAGAAAAAAATGTTTCAGTATTTCTGTGTTATTATGGAAATCTTATTAGTTTTGTTATCGCATGATTGGAAGGAATAGCTTCTTTGTTTGAAATGTCGAGTGATGATTCAGTTTTTTTCTCATGTTAGGAATTTGTAGATATTTTTAGGAATAACTTCTGATAATCGCAACTGTGTGAGGAAGCGACATGATATTTTTGATGATGAGTTTTTATTATTAACAATAGTTCTTGGAGTATTTGAGAAAAAATTTCCATTCCAAAGTAGACATTCTAATTTTATTTCTTTTTTTTTTGTTCAAAACTTGTTTGCCACTTTTTCAGAGAAAAATTTAAATTGAAACCCAGCCGAAAATATTTGCTACTTTCCTTGTAGTTATTGCCCCATTTTTTAATTAATTCACTTATCAGTTCGTTAATTCGAATTTTATAATACGATTTTTCAACAGTCACACCTCAAGAGAACGTTTTATTTCTTTCCATGACTCGCCATCAAATGTGTAGTTGCTTCTGGAGAAAAATTACAAAATTATTTTATAACTATATCTGGACTTCTCTATCGTCATGCAGAATCATTCAGATTTCATTGAGATTTGTACGACACGTCTTGACGACTAGATCAATAATAATCGTACGACCTGGAAAAACCTTCCAGTCAGGTACATTCGTGTGGTACGATCAATTAATCAGATAGAAGCGAACGACCGCAGAGACAAATCCCCATTCAGTGAGAATTTCAACTGAGAAATTATCCATCTATTTTCAGATGAGTGAATGAATGAGTGGATGAGATTATCTGTATGCCTGGGCAATTAAAATTCTATAGCGCTCGGGTACATTCAGACTCCTTGGATCATGTCTCCAATATATTTTTATTCTCGTACGAAATTTTATTCGTCTATAGGTTTTTTGCTCATTTAGTTGACGTCAAGCAATATATAGTATAATACATAATTGCGTCTAAATTGATTATTGAAGATGAGATGGGTCAAATAATTAGACATTAAAGATAATGAATGAGGTTTTTTTTACCAACGAATTCCATTGTGTCCTCGATTTCCATCAAAATGATTATATTTCACCAGGCAGTTTAAAAATGTATTATCATATCCCCTATCAATTCATATTATTAATCAACATTAGTTTTCTATTGCTTTCGAATGGGAGCTTTCTGACCGACCAAATTTAAGTTTCTCATTTTTCGTCATATATCAACTCAGCATAACCGAAGGAGTTCGAAAATTCAGTTGTTAGACCGTGTTTGCATGTATGTATGTATGTTTCGAAGATGAAAGTGACAGCAATAATGATTTTTTTCATTTTCTGTGAAATGCCATT